TTCGTGTTAGAGCCGGCACACGAGGATTCGGCGACGCTTGACGAAGACGCGCGGTGACTTTATCTCCACGCACGACGCACTCTTCCCCTTGCCTTTCCTACTATAGTTTTAGCTCACCATTTCACCATTTTCGACGCTAAAACCGCGGTTTTTTTCTTTAGAAGTAGCTTGACCGGGGACGGTCAAGATTTTGACCCCCCAGGAGGTGTAAGGCCAGCCTTCAGGCTGAGCCTGAAACCATTTGATTTCGTTTCACGCGTTCGATTGCCTCGGCCACGCGGCCTTTCTCGGGGTACCTTTGTTCGCTTCCCTTCTCGCTTCCCTTTTTCTCTTTTAAGTACAAGAACTCTTTGTACTTAGAACTTTGACTCTTACTCTCTATCAATCAATGCAATAGCAGCGCTCGGTCGCCCTTGTTTCCCCCTTTCTCTTAGTGTGATTGTCCCGGAAGTCAGGCCCAAACGCGGGCACTCGAAGGACATTCTCGCTATCTTTCCTCTTCTTTCCAGGCTGCTTTCTTCTTTCCTAACCCCCCTTTACTCCTTAACCACCCTCTGCCCACGAATTCTCACGCACGCGCTTTCGAGCACGTTCAACGTACAACCAGGAGGGGATCTGGGGCATAGGGCCAGGCATCCAAATGAGTCAGAAATACGAAACAATACTTAAGATACGAAGATACGAGGACTTGCGCGGGTTTGCACAAAGTCCACACGAACACGATGGTAACAATCGATAAGCTAATAGTAGTAAGACATGGGAACTCACTTCAACATCCTAGTAATGAGTCATGATCTGATCTGTATTGTACACAATCACATGGGCCAGAGCTTACTCAGCTGACTGATCCTACTAAGTCCATGACAATATACTGCTGACGCAGTGTCATACCCTTGTATGTCAGTGTCCACTTCCCAGGCCGAGGTGTTCCGAAGTCCAGGTTGTAACATCACCCCCTTCTCAGGGTCAAGACCCCGGATCCACTGCGCTGCATTGCCTCCCTCAGGTCGGCAATGTGCTGCCCCTCCTCTGCTCCTGGGTGGTACGAGTTCCACTCATTTTTGATGCAATTGATTGTGTTGGCACACTGTAGACACATGACACATTGCTGCTGCATGACTCCGATCTTGTCCAACTCCTGGATCTTCTTCTGCAGCTCCAGCTCCTTGGCGATGTAACCTGCTTGAAGGCAATGGTAGCAATGAACTTTGGCCATCAGTGAGAGGTCTTTCATGCCCAATAGGGCCCACTGGCAGTAACAGCCCCAGTTGACTGACCCTCAGAGGTCGCTGTCCTGATCTAGAAAGACCAGGTTGTCATTGGTGTAGGTAGGTGTGGGGAAGTTGTAGTTGGGCTTGGCATGCACTGACTTCCCATACTGCTGGTCGCTGCCTCATCGATAGGTGAGGATGAAGGGGTCCACCATAAAGACAAGCTGTGTATACTGAGCTGGGTGCAATTGGCCCTGAGCATTGCATATCTGGAAGGGGATGTAATGCACTCCCCTGTTGTGCCTGTACCCCACTGGTGGCGGTGTTTCCACCCGCTGTCTGGAAACTGGACTTGGACTGTGTTCCTCTGCACAGTAGACTCAAACCAGGGGTTGAGTATCCTGCAGCATAATAATTGGTTCCCTGTTGGTGGTGCATGGTGGTGGGGTTTTGTCATGTGTCATGGTGAGGTGGGTGCCATAGGTGAGGTGATTGTTGTGTGGGCAGTGTTCTTGCAAGAGGTAGTGGTTGTATTCCCTGTCCTCTTGAACCTGAGTCTTGTCCATACGGAACTGAGGTCATGTGTTACATTCCTTCTGGATGTTCAACCCAACTTGGGTTCAGTTGCCTGTTTGCTGCTTGGTGGTGTCGAGAGTCTTCAGTATCCTGTAGGCAATGGCTAGGGGTGATACGCAAGGCATGGCTGATATAGGCCAGACAGAGAACGAGAAGAGGAAAGTTGAGAATGGTAGAACACCAAGTCAGCAAAGCGGCACAACTGGTAACAGATGGCCTCACTTAAGGGCAAACAAGGGAGAGGGGGGATAGGTGGTAAATGATGCGCCTCTGCTTTAAGGAGGGATCAAGGTACTACACCCTAGGACAAACTCTGAGTAGGGGAAGGTATTACACAAGATATCAAAGCTAAGGAGTCCATGCGCTTGAAGGCACACTACTTATACACAGAAGGGAGAGCTTTGAAGCTCAGTCCCACAGCTGAATCCTAATACACAGCTGCGAATCCTAATACAAGAAGCCAATGGCAATAATGCTCACAGCACAGGTCAGTAAGAAGTCTGGATCACAATCGATAAGGGCCATGAGGCGCCCCACAGTAAAGTCCACATCAGAAACAAGGCACAGCCCAGGACAGACTCATCTGGGCTCTTCTGGGCAAACACAAGGCAGGCCACATGCCAGGGTCACATGGTGGCCACCCCAGGACCTATTCCCAAGGTTCCTGATAGTGATTCTGTTGGATTAGTAATCTGTCACATGACCTGGACAAAGATGTTCCAGTTTGGTCACCCCGAAGAGGCGGGACCAGTTCAGTGCATATAAAACTATCCACCTCAGTAACCCAAGGTCAGGTAGCTCAGTTGGTAGAGCATCTGGTATATATCCAGAAGGCCTGGGTTCAAACCCCAGTCTGGTCACTTTTATGCGCGTGCTACAGATTCTGCTGTGGGGGGGGAGTGGTTGCTCACCGCACATCTGAAGTACACAGACTCCTCTTGTAACCTGGCCACTGCCATGTATACTTGTTCTTCCACACATGGCTCTTCTTCAACTTGCCAGTCCCACCAAGGGTCTTCAGGCATGTTGGCCAACTCCACAAAGGGGATGTCAGCAGTTGGTGGTTGGTTGTGTGGTGAATCTTGGGCAGGTGAGGGAAAAACCGTAACACTGACATCACTCACCAAAATCACCTGACTAACAAACAATATTCTAAAAAGAGAACCCCCTGACTGTATATAAGACACTCCCAACCATCCCTTGCTTGCTATCAGAACTCTTCCCACAACACATAACCCTGTACTGCCCCATACCCTCTCCCCACTTGCCCTCTCTGAAACACTGGCTACTCACTAATCTAAGTGCATTCAAAGCAACCCCCCTACGGCTCCAACCATTTAGTTTATGTTTACTCAAGAGCCAGTAAATAGACAGTAAACCATTGTAAACTGTTTATAAAACAATTTACAGTGATACCCCAAAACTTTTCTTGAAAATGGGCCCACTCAGTAGCAAATATATGAAATATAATGAAAATAGTGACTTGAAAATTAACTCTCACTAACAACATATTCAACAACTAACCCTATGTCATGTTATGGCCTGAGTTGCAGCTTGAGTGGGATCCTACTAGTAGGAAATCAAATGGGAAAAGTCTGAAGATGTTTGTGAGGTAAACTATTTAAAATTCCAGGACAACTCTAAGTGATCCAATTAGGCATTCCTGCAAGCATTCCTGAGTTATTTTACTTGCTCAACAATTGGCTTGGCTTGCAAAGAGTCAAGTCAGCTGGAGTCAAATAACTTACTTGGACATTTGGACCTTGATTTTGTCCATTGTTCCATTTCCCCTCCTGGACATTTCCAATGTCCACAAGAAGCTTTGTTGAGCCCTTGAGGACATCTTCAGGGAAGCACCCATCCCAGATCATTTCCAGGATCAGCTCTTACCTAAGTTAGGGGATTGACTGCAATTCCCTGTCATTGGTGATAAAGAGGAGGACCTGGAGTGGGCTCAAAATAGAACTAAAAACCATGTAAGAAGCCATCATAACTAAGCAATTATGGCTGATTCTTTGATAGACTTGGCCTGGGCACTCTTAGATAAAGGTATTTTTCCAGCTGTGAACCTTGGTTTTAATATGTGGCATGGACAGTACTTTCACCTCTGGACAAAATAGTGGTAGGGTCGATTACACCACCTGCATAGGTGATATACCCCTTGTCCTGATTGAGGTGAAATCACCATTGATCATGACGGCAGTGGGAAATTTGCTACTGCAGCACAGAATCACATTTAAATGGGTTTCCAATCAGCCTCTAGTGGAGAAAGTTCTCCTGAAGGTGAGTAGTTCTTTAGATGCAACACTAATTTTGACAATTCATGTAACACAATAGGCTGCTTTATATCTAGGCCTAAAGAGGATGGAATGGCTGTTTCTCACCTGTCACAACTACTGGATTATTTTTGCCAACTTGTCACAAACTATGGGAACCCTTCTCTTTACTTGCCAAGGTGTCATGATCATGTGACATGCTGTGTAAGTGTTTCCTAATTTAGACTCATGACTCCTATGACTGCCAGCTCAGCAGTGCCAGAGCCTTATGCTGCTGGCACTTGCATGTCCTCATGAAAATAGCTTAAAGTTTTGTAAGATATAAAAGACCTGTAGCCTACAATGTATTTCCTGATCTCAGTCTTCCTGAATCCCAGCACTGTTTTCCCTCTCTTCTGCTCTGCAAGTCCACCACTTTCTCACTTAGTCAGCAACCCAGACCAGCGCCCCAATTAATCAGACTTAGGCCATTGAGCTTGTCTGACTCAACTCCATTGGATTTAGGCCAATGAGCTCATCCATCAACCAACAATCTGAGGTCCTATATAACAGCCACCTGCTGGAGCATCATCACCTAATCCTCTGGAAAGTTATAACTAGATATAATAGGTTACAGATGTTACAAATATCTCAAGACCACTATAATCCTTGTGATATTGTCATAATCTCCCTTACCACTTTGTATCTACCACACCTTACTTTATACAAATTATAATACCATTGTAATTTCCTTGACAACTCAGTATCACTATGACATGATTATATACTAATTATAATATCCACTCAAAATAGGATTTCATTGTAATATAGTTGTGGCTCCCTAACACTGGTTGTTGTCATATTGTGATATCACTGTCATCTTCATATTGAATTACTACCTTGTATATAAAATTACTGCCTTGCTATATAAATAAAAGATAGTTGGTTGGGTATACAAGACTTATTGGTGTAGTGGTTGATGTTCAATCCTGGAAAACAAGTCACCTGATGTGGTCATGGGTTCAAATCCCATCTAAGGCAGGTTATAATGTACCTTTCAGAGGTAATTATTAATAATAATAGATAAGATAGGTGACAAATAATTAAAGGTAAAAATATATAGTGAAATTATGTCATCTGACAAGTACTACAAATTAAATTGTATATTTTTGTGACCCCATTATCAGCACATTGTGGTGCTCATTGTAACAATGATATAAGCTTGTTATTATACTTGCATAATCTGAGCCAGAGCTACACCTAGATATAGAGGGTTAATGTGTATTACAATATATTTCAGCAATTATAACTTGTTATAACAGCATTTCAATTTCCTGGAGACTTAGGTGATGATAACACAAGGTGCAGTATAAGATCAACTCTTGTTGGGATCAAGCCCAGAATGTTGCCAGAATAGACAACCTGAGGCCAGACCAATCAATTATGTAATTGCTGAATTACCATAGAATAACTGGATAATAACCAGAACCTGTGGAGATAGGAGCAGAAGCCCTACTCCAGACTCTCACATACATAAACTGCTGGCCTCACTAAATCCTAACAACTCTCAACTGTTTTGAGCCTTTCTCAGTACTATCTTGTCAACATCACACCATTCTGTTCAGGTCAGCATATACAATCACAATATGGAGTTTGATGATATTCTAGAAGACAGGGAAGAGGACAGGTCTCCAGAAGATAACTTCAATGATGGTTCAGGAACATATTGGGATAGTACAGGGACAGCCATTTCATCAAGGGTCCTGATCAGGGATGTCAATGGTGGTGCAGAGGCATGACAATTCCCCCATCTGGACACAGGTGGGCATCACAGTTTAGCTGAGCTGACATATCCAACATTATTGCTGGACAGATTGCTCCAGAGTGAAAGGCTAAACATGCTGTACAAGATGAGGCCCTTCTCATGAAGCTTTGTAAGACTCTCATAGACATTTTTGGGGACAAACCCTTCCCATATGAGTACCAGGATCTGCTCTTAGCAATGTTGAGGTGTCGGCTACAATTTCCTAGCAATCAAGAGGTGGAGGGTGATCCAGACTGAGATCAGAACTGAACTGAAGTTCATGTATGAATCCAATCATGGCTGAGGGACTATGGCTGACTCTTGGACAGACTTGGACTTGGGTGCTTCTAGATAAAGGCTTTCTTCAAGCTGCAAGCTACTGTTTGAACTTATACAATGGACACAAATTTGTCCTCAGGAGGGAGGACCCAGTTGGGCAAGGTTGACATCAAGACAGGGTTGATTTTACTGGGTTGGTAGGCAACACACCAGTTGTCCTTGTTGAAGCAAAATCACTGTCTGTCATGGTGATGGTGTGCAATTTGCTACTGTCATGTGGAATCAAGTTGAAATGGGCTCCCAAGCGACCTCTAGCAGAGAACATTCTTCAGAAGGTGAGCATGTCAACACTGATACTGATGTTGACAATTTATGTAACCATACAGGCTGCTTTATATCTGGGTATGAAGAACGTGGAATGGCTGTTCCTGACATGCCATAATCATTGGATTGTTTGCCACCTTGTCAAAGGAATTAAGAAAAAGGAACCCTTTCTAGCTTACTCACTAAGTTGCAGTATCAAGAACAACTCTGAACCCTTCCAAGCATTTCTTGGAGCAATCTTGTCCACTCTAAATGGAGTTCCTGTTCAGCCCAGCATACACAATACCCAAACAAGACTTGTCCAAATTCCAGAAGACAGGGAAGGTGGGCCTCTACCAGAAGATGGCGTTGGTGACAGTTCAGGAGCATATCAGGGCAGCTCAAGGACAGAAGGACAGCTGTTTCATCAAGGGGGCCAATTACCCATTCCCATGCAGGTGCTGGTCATTAGGCTGCAGAATTGGGATTAATGGTTCATCCAATACCTGGTTGTTTCCTGTCCACACACTCATCTACTTGCAGATTACTTTGTCTTCCTCACAATTCCCTGAATCCTTCCAATTATGGATACATCTTCATCCACTACCTGCCAACACATTTGCCCTTCTAAAATGTGCTAAGAGTGGAAATGGGAAACAACATATATGGTTGACCCACTTCATAGGTTACAGATCAACTGGCAGTGTCTAAGGCTCCAACCATTTAGGTTTAAAACAATTTTTAACTATTTACATGGTTTACTTTTACTATATTTACTGGCATGGTGGTGTTGAGACTGCCATTGTTGAGAGCTATAGGCAGGATCTTCTCTCTCACTGTCCTGGTGCCAATACTCTCAGGAACGCTCAGGAACGATCTGCACAACATGTTTGTAAAAGCTGTGGCCCCCTATAGTGACAAGGGTTCAGATGGGGAGGGCTCCCCCATGGTCTGTAAATGGGAGTTTTCTGGCCACATTATCTTGAAATGTCACGACCCAAAAGGCAGGGTAGGCAGGGCACCCAAGCTCAAGGACCTCCTGGAAGAATGGAATTCCACTTGTGCCAGATTCTCCAAGGATAAGAAGGATCCCATTGCTGTTGCTATTCAGTCCATCAAGAAAAATAACTTCAAATATCTTGCTTGTTCTGGTTCTGCTGCTGAGGCACAGCCTGGGGCAATTGAGACCCTCACTCACCAGCTCCTTTCTGGTCTCTATGAAGTATCTATCATCCAACAGTCCAACTAAGTAAATAAACTAAATAGTAAACAGTAAACAGTTATCCCAAGACCCTTTAGAGTCAAGAGGAACTGTTATCCAAATTTGGCCTCAGATCAGAAGGTTTAAGTGTGCTAATATGTTCAACACTTTTGAACACTGTTGAATACTTTGAACTTGGCCCTGAACATCACTGGATGGAATTTATATTTTTATGCTGACAAAATTTTAACACTTCTGTGATAAAAGGCAATTCCTTTTCCTCTATTTTTTACAGTCAAAAATGTGAATCTGATAATTATATACTATTAAGCCAAATTAATGTTGAAAAATGATATCAAAATGGTATTTATATAATATAATATTTCCACAATCTATAGAGTGGGAAAATATATTATTATTTAAGGATTTCATTTAGAGCTTTAAAAATTGAGAGCCAAACCAGTGGCCAACACCATTTACACATAAAATAAAGAAGTATCATTTGCATTTTTTTAACCTATTTCTATGTAAAACATTGTAGAAGAATATCCACTGTTTGAGATTGTAACAAAATTATATCAAATAAATATTATTTAACATCATTTTTCAATCTGAATTTAGGCTAATAATATATAACTATCATATTTGGTTTTTATATTGTAAAAAATCAAGGAAAATGAATAGCCTTTTATTATAGATTTTGTTTCCACCCAATGTCACCTCAGAACTTGCCTCAGAACACCTCACATTTGTACAGATGCCCTTCTCAATACCCTTGGTACTAGACTTCTTAAAGGTATGAATGCTTGGTATATATTAGAATAGAGGCTTGAATAGATGTATAAGTGAGCAGATGTCTGCATAAAAGACATAGCTCAGCTATTGTGACACTGAAACTTGAAATTATATAATCAAGTTTTATATAACTGCAAAGAATATAACTGAATACTAGTTGTAAGACTAGTAGTAAGTTTTATACTCTGCTTCCACAGAGCAATGAGATAATGAAGCTGTGGACATTGGAAATGACCAGGAGGGGAAATGAAACAATGAACCAAATCAAGGTCCAAATGTCCAAGTAAGTTATTTGACTCCAGCTGACTTGACTCTTTGCAAGCCAAGCCAATTGTTGAGCAAGTAAAATAACTCAGGAATGCTTGCAGGAATGCCTAATTGGATCACTTAGAGTTGTCCTGGAATTTTAAATAGTTTACCTCACAAACATCTTCAGACTTTTCCCATTTGATTTCCTACTAGTAGGATCCCACTCAAGCTGCAACTCAGGCCATAACATGACATAGGGTTAGTTGTTGAATATGTTGTTAGTGAGAGTTAATTTTCAAGTCACTATTTTCATTATATTTCATATATTTGCTACTGAGTGGGCCCATTTTCAAGAAAAGTTTTGGGGTATCACCGTAAATTGTTTTATAAACAGTTTACAATGGTTTACTGTCTATTTACTGGCTCTTGAGTAAACATAAACTAGTAAACAGTTGGAACCTTAGCAGTGTCTAGCAAGGTCACTTTGACAACAAGATTTCTGCTGTCAGGAAAAGGTGGAGGGCAGGTTCTGCTACACTTGGTATGGGGAGCAGAGGTGCTCAGCCCGTAAGAGGAATTGCAGAGGTTGACTCTTTTGTGTCCCCACACCCAAATTGTTGAAACCCAGATGTTACATCTGATGCTTCCTGGGCTGCAGTCCAGCGCATTGTCAATAGGATTAAAGGTTATGTTCATTAGGTGTTCATAGTGATTGGTCCAGGTAGCCCTCAGGTTGACGAGGGCTACCCAAGGGGCTACCCGTACCTGTACCCATCCTCAAGGGTACGGGTTCCTGCAGGTACAGGTTGGGGGTGTCCAAGGGGGTGGTGGGATTGAAATTAAATACCAGGGGTCAATCTTTTCAATTTCAGTCATGTGGGCCACACCCTACCCACCTTCCTTTTATGGTATGTTACTCTCACGTATGTTTTTCTTTTTCTTTTTCAAAGAATAATACTATTCACGGCAACGACACCGAGATAAGATGATTTATTGAGGTGCACTACAATACAACAACACTACTCTAGATATGCTATAAACTGTCACTACTACCCTCATTGTTGGGCCGCAGTTCAGAGCCACTGCAGGCTGAGGCTGGCCCACAGCAAGGTCACTGTCCCGGCCCCTTCGTCGTTGTCATCGTTGTTGTAGGGGATGCACACAGCAGAGGACTGCATGAGTGTGCAGAGCCAGAACTGGCGTGAAGTGCCCTCCACCCCAGCCCATGTTGTCATCATTGCCAGCAGCGTGAACAGGTAGTGGGTAGTCCCGTTGACGTCATTAGACTTGTTACTAGTCGCCGAGCGTGTGCAGGGCCAGGACAGGTGGTGGAATCTTGAGTGGAATGGCCCTCCGCTGAAACCTGTGTTGTCGCCATCACCATCTTGTCATCGTTGGGGCATGTACGGC